GCTGGCTAGCCGGCTGGCTGGTGTTGCCGGGCGACGCACCCCCACTGTTTGGAGTAGGCTGCCCAAGGCTAGAGGTTGGGGATCCCTGGTTTCCATGGCTAGCCTCCATGTGAGGGGTAGCCGGTAGTGTTCCTAGGGATGCGTGCTGGGAGGCTTGCTCGGGGATAGCATTCTGCAGCATGCCTTGCACCGACTGCGTGGGATTCTGCACACTGGTCAGCAAACCAGCCCGGATAGGATCCTGCACACTGTTCAGCAAACCAGCTTGCCCCTGGCTCTGCGCGGCTTGGCCCCGGATAGGATCCTGCACACTGTTCAGCAAACCAGCTTGCCCCTGGCTCTGCGTGGCTTGGCCCAGGATAGGATTCTGCACACTGTTCGGCAACCCAGCTGGCTCTGCATGGCCTGGTTCGGGTTGGGATTCCGCGCCCTGTTTGGCAACCCAACTTGCCTATGGCCCTGCACGGTTTGGTTCGGGTTGGGATTCTGCACACTGTTCGGCAACCCAGCTTGCCCATGGCTCCACATAGCTTGCTTCGGGTCAGTGGCTTGGCCTGGCAGCTGTCCCTGAACAGCTCGCCTTGGGGGGGGTTCTGCGGCGCCAATTGCTGGCCTTCGATAGCTTGGCTCGGGCGAGGCATGCCCTGTACCAGGTCAACACTTTGCATCGTTCCAGAATGCTGCAACGTCTGGGTGGGCGGGGCTGTGCCTGGCGGGAAGCATGCTTGGGAGGGAGTGCGGACAAGGGCAGGCCTGGGGGTTGTGGCCAGCTCGGCCTTGGCAGAAAATCCGGCAAGCTTGTCCTCACAGGGATATAACACCATATGAGCTACAGTCTATAAACTCCTAGTATCCCCCTTAATAACCCTTATAGTAGTTCCCTATATACCCCCCTATATAATTCCATTTAAGGAGTTTAGACTATGGTTCATATGTATATAGATTACCCTTCTCCACTACCACCAATCACAATTCAAGTACATATATATATATATATAGATACACAATTATATATAGTTGAGTATATACATATATATACATATATATATATGTATACATATATATATTGCGGTACCCTGCACACATAAAATCCTTATGTATTCAAGCCCTATATCTACATCTATGTGTATAGGTTTGGGGTTTAGTTTTTTTTTATACAGTTTGTAGGGTTGACATATATATATATGTGTTTGTTACCTTGAACCTCAGTGTATTTCGTTTGCGCAGTCCTCTATATAAACCATACCTATACATATATATTAACCCTACAAACCCTAAACCATGTATACGCAAGCATCCACTCACTTAATGTATTAGTGTCGGTTTGAAAACTTTGCAAATGAAGCATGCCTGCACACGGCGCTTGTTGGACTCCTTCTTGACTGTGTTGAGCTCCTGCTGCGCGTTCTTCACTCGCCCCCACAACTCCTTCTCCTCGTCCTGCATGCGCAGCATCTCCACTTTGTGCCGCTTGCAACGGTCGTTGTAGTCCCGGTCCATCCGCTCCATCATCCGCTGGTGCTCCGCAAGCCTCAGGTCCATCTCCTCATCCATCTTGCGCTTCCTGCGCCCCATCTCCTCTTCCAACTCAGCAGCTTGTGCTGCCGCGTCGAACTCCTTCTCAAGCTGTCTCACAGCTTCATCGCTCATTCCGTCGCCCCAAGCAGCAGCGTCGGCCGTCTGGGTCTCAGGAAAGCTGTCCATGGAGTTAAGATGCGGCGGCCCAGATTCGCGGGGAGGCCCAGCACCAACTGCTCCATCGGAACCAGCCGACACATATCCACTACCACCACCTGCACCCATAGCCGTTGCAGGCTGCTCGACAAAGCCAGGCTGCGTCATGGACTCTGTACCGGGATCTGCGTAGCCTCCCAGCGGAGGACCAAAGATCCCCAAGCTCATAACATCAGCTTGTTCAGGAGCAGGGGCCAACACCGGGTTGGGAGCTTCAGGAGGGTACACAGATCCTCCGGCGGATCCAGAGGAGTAGCCTGCAGAAAAGAGAAAGGAAAAATTCGTTATGAAACATATATATATACATACATATATACGAATATAAAACCTATATATATATACACACCCAGATCCTCCTATGTAGATTTTTTAGGGGTAGTATATTTTGGTGACATACCCCAAAACCATGCCAAAACAATAAAAAACTACATTGGGGCTCTTGGGTATAAAGATGCACCTATACAGGTTAGACCTTTTAGAGATCGAAAGGATGCCCCTCCTCTGACTCTCTAGCTAGAAGTCCCAATGTACCTATACATATATAAGTACTGGGTGTAGAGGGTTTAATATTGTAGTTGCTGGAGTAATCCCTTTAAAGTTTTTTACCCTAATCGCCTCGTCTCAGCTCATTGGCTTTGGCCAAGTACTGTACCTTCAACTCCAAACTGTTAGGGGTGTCGGGTAGGCTCGACAGTAAAGCCGCTGTAGACGGACTGAGATCGCCAAAGGCCACCATCTCATCCTGCTCCTGCTTTGCCTGCCCAGAGGCGGATGGGCCTACATGTATAGACACACATAGAATACATTAGTGTCTATACAATTAAGAAGACAGGTTGGGGTCATTGCTGGTGTGGCTTATATGGTTCTTTGTAAGGGTAGTTGTGTAATAGCAGCTTTGCCACCTGGCGAGGATAGCATGTAGTAGGTTCAGGATATGTATATGAAATATATAGTGGTTGACCTCTGAACATGAGCATCTGAGTAGGGATCTGCACCTATGCTAACCCCTAAAGAGCATAGGCGTTGTTCTTCTATTTCCGGCAAAAGGTTTGGGGCTTCTTGTTTTGGTTTTGCAGATCATTATATAAATATATTCTTCCACATGCTAGAGAGCTCCTTGTGCCATTATTGCATAGTCGTC